CATAGGTTAGTGTGTAATTTTTCAAGTTTTTGTCATAATTTACATTTGAATAATAGTTAGTTAAATAGTATTGTAGATTTGATTATAAATTTTATTAAAAAATTATTAAAAAAAAAAACAAAAAGAAAGAGAAAAAGTAGTGGTTGAATAGTTCCAAAACTTCGAAAAGTATTACAACAAAAATATTGTGAAAATAATTAAAAATTTGGACTACTTACAACAACAAATGCAATTTGTCACAAAACAAAGTTAATTTACTCAACTCTCAAATTGCAGTTGTATGATCTTCATATTGATCTTCACTATTTTTATACTTCTTAGAGTAAAAATGTAGTAGTTGACTATAGCTTGTCTAAGCTATGAAGGGTTTAAAAATAAAATGATATCGAAGTTATTTCATTTATATATTTGTGTATGGTATAGAAAATGAACAAATTTTAGTCTACAGACAGTTTTCTCTTTGCAAAGATCTAGTTTGTCTAATATTCTTGTCAATAAGTCTAACTTTGCAAAGATGTGGTTTGTGGGAGGATAGTAAGGAGATATATACCAGAGGTCAAGGCTAAGCTGGACTAGCAACCAGCAAAAGAAAATTGGATGTTATTTATAGCAGATAGTTTATTAACAATGGAAGGATAAAATTAAGACACCGCTTCTAATTTTACTTACATAACTTATTCATCATCTATTCTAATATAAATATAGAATGTTGATATAGATTAGTTCTTTTGTTCAAGCAATTGTCATTCTTCTTACTTCTTATCTTCTCATGCATTGCAGACCTAGTGGTAAAATATCAAATTTCATTATTATTATTATTATTATTATTATTTGAGGAATTGGAAATTATCAAATTTCATTAATTAAAATCACATGATTCACGTATCCAAATTTCACGAAAAAAAAAAAAAATTGAAAGTTTGGGCTTTGGGCCCTGTGAGGGAAGGGAGGGATCGAAGGAGTAAAGTAGTTGCCGTTGATTGGGCTCTGGCCCTTGTGGGAGAGGGAGACCCGTCGTCGTCGTTCAGCAGAACAAGTAACCACCACCTGCACTCTCTGTTATTTATTTATTATTATATATTAAATCTTTAATTAATTTTTTATGTGTTAATTGATGGAGTTAAGATATTTGAATTTTTTTAATGTGTATAAAAATTAAAATATAATATAAACTTTATAAAGGATTAATATGTAATAAATATATTTTTTAAAATTAATTAATTAAAATTAATAAAATTATAAAAAAAATAATTAAAAAAAACAAAAAGAAAGAGAAAAAGTAGTGATTGAACAGTTCCAAAACTTTGAAAAGCATTACAACAAAAATATTG